AGGATGGCGGCGGTGATGAGCTGCATGGTTGCTTTGGCTGGTAAGCTGCCAGTCTCTCCTCAAATCAATGCCCTGGTTGGGCCTGACTCTTTGTCTCACCCACTGTGTGGTCGTGATGTGTTCTGCTGCCCTCGCCCAGGATCAGAAGAGTTCTGGGTGGTGGAGTTCGTAGCCACGAAGCCTGAGTTCCGTAGGCAAGGCGTCAACAACCTCCTCATGCAGGCCGCCCTTGCCAAAGGTGCGAGTTGTGTTGTGTGTGTTGTGTGTGTTGTGTGTCGTGTGTGATGATGAGGCAATTATTGAAACCAATTCTGGTGAGTAGGTAGGCAGCTGGGTTACACGAAGGCGCAGATCACTGTGCTCAGCGACAACACCGCTGCGATCAAGGCGTATGAGAAGGTGGGCTTCAGCGAGTACAACACCATCACCTCGCCGGCCTTCCTGCAGGCCGCCAACTCTCCAGGCGTGATGAACATGCGCATCATGACCCTTTGATCAGACAGCACACTCCTCAACAGAAACAATTCGCATTATCATGCATCAACAACTTACCCGTTGTAGGGGCGGTAATGAATGAAACGCAGGAGTTGAAGCGTGTGCGATGCGAATGCTTTGGGGTGTGTGCAGCGGAAGATGTCGACAAGTCCTGGGGGTGTAGCTCACATGGTAGAGCGCTCCGTTCGCATCGGAGAGGCAGCGGGATCGATACCCGTCACCTCCAGACATTCCATTTTTCTTGTGGCACGCTGATGCTTCATTCATGTGCTGTTCTTGATGTCCCTTTCAAAGGCATTTACCCCTGGAAGAGCCACACCTTCCATGCTGTAACTCTCTCTGATGAGACCACCACCAACCTGGCAGTTGTACCTGCCAGGTCAACACAAACCCTTGATTGCTTGGCCACTCAGCCTCTCTCCTGTTCCTTGGTGCACCAGTTTTTCTTGTATTGTCTGAAACAGACAAATTCAGCAGAAAATGGCCTGCCAGCCAGAGAAGCACACCATGTCACAGGAAACCTGGTGTTTTTAAAATCTATGACTGATATCAACCAACTCCACAACACCACAGAAAAGTGCCATGTCACTGTAAGTGTCCCACATCAGCCACTTGACAAAAACCTCTTTCTACAGCCACTGCATTTATATTAAGGACTGAAAAGGAGATGGATGTGAGAGTGGCAATGACAAGCTGTGGGAGGTGGCAGGTTGGTGTGCACTGCAAGTGAATAGAGTGCTTCATTGGTGAACACCAACTCACATAGATTTAGCTTGGGGGAGTATGTAGGGAGAAAGATGTAGTGTACTCTGGCATTATGGAGCATCTTGTGCAGGAAGGGTTGGGTGTCTGTGCCAAAATGGATTGATGTGTTGTTGGCAAAGAGGAAGTTGCCTGGCAGGATGCCCAGCTGCCAGTGCTGCACTGATGAAGGACACATATTCCCACTCAGTGTTTGAGTTGGTGTGCATGTTGATGAATGGAATGTCCAGGGTGGAGAGGTCAGTGAGCAGGGTCAGGGAGAAGGAGTCAGAGATTTCAGCTGCCATGCAGAGGAATGGGGCAGTCCCAGCCAGCAAGATTATTCAGTTGCAGTGCAGATGGTGCAACACAAAATGCGCCTCACCAAGGAATTTGAGTCAAAGGGGAGGGAGGCAGGGGATGATGGCAATGAATTGGGCGTAGTAGAGTATTGGCAGGGGTGTACTTTTGAAGTTGTTGGATGCATGGCTTTTGCAGCTCCATCGCCAGCTGCAGAAGATGCACACAACAAAGGAACCTTGCTTGCCCAATTGTGTGGTGTGGGCTTGTAGATTGAACGTTGGGTGCAACTGAATGTTGCACCAGACAAGTGCACAGATGAGGGCCTCACCATCCTCACCAAACTTAAAATTGCAATTGAAATTTAGACCATGGGGAAGAACTCATACTCACTCCCCCCACAACCAAGGATGATGGTTGGGGTCCCACAACTTTGTTCTCCAATATTGTGCAACGCTCCAACTGACCCCAAATGCCTTGCTCACAGCAGCACAACCATGATCTAACACAAATGCACCAACTGCATAGCATTTTTGGCGCCAATGGAATCTACATTTCATAATGTTAGTTTAATTTTACATCAAAGTGGAGAGAATCACATACTGGTGCTCTGTGTGATCCTTGATCTGATGGTTTGTAGCAAGTGGCTGGCGCAGCATGGTGAGGAAAATGATGGGTCCCCATTGTGCACTGATCAGCCAATTTTGCTTCACTGTACATAAAAATATTAGTAGAAAAAAATCATTAGTATAATAAGCATCAGACAGGCACACAAGGCATTAGGACACAAAGCCCACAATGGCCAGGCTGGTGAGCCAGTCAGAGGTTGTGAGCCTTTCCAGCTTCCAGCTCATCATGCAGGCAGCTGGTGTTGATGTCCCAGATCATTTCTTTAAGTACATCACACACTCTGTTGCTGCCTGTAAAGCATCTGTCTTGCCATACACCCAGCTGGTGTGGGCAGGCGCAGGCAACACACTGAGTTGGTGCTCTTGGTGTCACATCCCACAGTTTGAGCCTCGCCTCAGCCCACCTCTGCCACAAGTGCGTCTTTGACAGATGCACCTTCTTCAATACCTGCCTCCATCACACAGACAAATGTACGGAATGCGAAAAATCTCCTCACGCAGAGGCACTGACTGTTTTTCATTTTTTTGGTAGGCAGCGCAAAACAAGCTGGTGCAAAGACAGCCAGGAGACACACCCAACATCCCCATTGTGTTGGTGCAAGGTCTTCACTCCACCTTGCCTGCACCAATTGCATCAATGTCAATTGATGACATGTGCAAGCAGTGCAAAGCACTGCAAGCAGAGATTGTGTACATAGCCCTGTTTGATGTCCCTAGGATGTAGCTCTCCCCATTTGGTATGCCAGAGTGATGATGACAATTATGCATTTTGTTCCCCCCTTTCAATCCTCCTGACAGTTGCCACAGGAGGTTCACCACTTTCACAACACTCCAGTCTGTCCTCAGCATCAACCTCTCCTTCACCAACACCACATTTGGGTTCAACACAGCCCTCACCCCAATACTCCTTCCACCCTCCTTCTCCTCTCACACCCCTCAGTCCCAGCCTCACCACAGAGTATGACACTGATGACTTTCTCATTGATGATTGTACATACTCCCACCTCCCACCTCCTCACACTCCCTTCTCACTGTGATGGTCAGGCATGGAAGACTTGGTGATGAAACAGGAACAGCTGCCCAACACCTCATGTAACACAGCACCTCACACCAGCAACACTCAGGCTACTCTGCTCTGTTGCCTGTCTGTCCAGCCTTTCTTTCCCATGCCCCCAGGCGCCCTCTTCCCTCCCTGCCAGCAACGTCTATGACACCATTGCTGTTGCTGTAGTCACCCTGGCTGGTGTCCCTGTCATGGCCATCCTCATCATCATCATCATTGTTGTCACCATCACTGTCATTGTCATTGCCCTGGCTGGTGTTGTCCCTGTCCAACCCTGAATAAAGGTATGAACATGACCAGAAATTCACCAGCCTCCAGCCTGGTATCCCACAGCAAAGCAAATCAGACAAAATCTTGTCAACCCCTACAAACTGATAACATGGTTCTCCTCTTCTTCCAGTGGTCCAGTTTCTGGTGAATTTGTCTGTTTCAAACAATAGAGCCATTGGGTATGCAAATAAAACTTATGTCTGAAATAAGAGGTAATAAATGACCATGGGAATTTTGTTGTGCTAAAATTGTGTGAGATTTGACATTCTTGATTTATAGGGCAATTTTGAAGATTTGGATCTGCATGTGTGACATTGACATGCCAAACCGCTGCTGATGTGTGATATTGAGGGTCTTGAGATGAAAAAGATTTCATAAAAACTTGAAATGTGCAGAGTTAAAAGTGATTTTATCAGTGTGAGATGGACCTTTGTTGAGGTGGAATTTTATCTTTGGGAATAGTGCTCCAATTCAGCACAAATGTGAAGAATGAAGTTCAGTCCATGCGTGCAACTGCAATGAATATGATGTGAGGTTGACCATGAACTGGATGTGAGAGTGGTATGTTGGAAACTGATTATGGAATTGATGGAGGGAATGAAAGCAAAAGCAAGGTGCTTTTTGGAGTTGTTCAGAGGAGCACTAACACAAAACAAGCTAACTTCAGATTGTCCAGATCATGTACATGTATACAATAAACTTAGTATCAGTAGGTCAAACATGTAGTCATCTGATGGCCCAGTTACTGCATCATATCTCTCATTATGGTGGTATTTTAATCTGCCATTTCTCAACATGCTCCCAATGGTTATTTTTAAATTAAAATCATTTTTGTGTTGTCCAAACCATTTATGTGGGCTTAAACTCACAAACAAAATCACTTTTCAAATGACAGGACCTCTCATTTCAAATGAGTGCTAGTTCCTTCAGCTTGGCTTTCTGGCCACTCCCCTCCACCCAACTCAGATTTGCAGCACATTGTCCCAAGCCTTGGTGGAGCCACTGGCCATCAACCTCAATAAGCCATGAGTTGCTGTGAGGGGAGGTGGGGAATGCAGCACCTGGCTGAATGAATTGGAAAGTGGAAACTTGGGAAAAGTGGAAACACCTGCTGGTGATGACCTGCAGCTTGGAGAGTGAGGTGTATCCCAGAGGCATGTGAAGCATCAGCGTGCCACAAGAAAAAAGGAATGTCTGGAGGTGACGGGTATCGATCCCGCTGCCTCTCCGATGCGAACGGAGCGCTCTACCATGTGAGCTACACCCCCAGGACTTGTCGACATCTTCCGCTGCACACACCCCAAAGCATTCGTATCGCACGCGCTTCAACTCCAACCGAGCAAATGCTCCTGCATTCCCTCCTGCATCCTCTCCCCTTCCCCCCGACCAGGCATCAAGTACTGTTTTTGAAGATATGAGGAGCTGCGACGAACGATCTATCTCATGCACCGCGCTCCTTTGATCTGGGTGCGGAAGTGGGGCGCCACGATGGGGTGCAGCCGACCGTAGTACAGAGCCCAGGGCTCGATGGACGAGCCGTCGGCAAAGTCGCACGAGTTGGAGAGGCCTGCAGACTCCTCCACGGGAAGCACCGACCAGCCGGTAGTCACGCACATTCCTGCACCAATATAACGTGGAGTCGGCATCCTCTACAAGACGAGCTGTAAAACGAACTCCCCAGCTGGGGAGTACCTATCTCTGGCACGTAGAGGGAGCCCAAAGTAGAGGCCTTGCTCTCAACACAGTACTGGGCTGCGGGATTGCCCCACCTGATTGACACCACTCGTAAGAAGCAATGTGTGGGCGAGTTGAACGAAAGGGTATGTTGTACTGTTTGCGGTCCCACTTGAAGTTGGGGATCGGGTAGAAGTAGGCCAT